TGACATATGCTATCATCTGTATTTGTGAAGGTCAGTGCTTCACCCTGACATATATCATCTGTCTTTGTGAAGGTAAGTGCTTCACCCTGACATATGTTATCAGTATTTGTGAAGGTCAGTGCTTCACCCTGACATATATCATCTGTCTTTGTGAAGGTCAGTGCTTCACCCCTGACATATCTTATCAGTATTTGTGAAGGTCAGTGCTTCACCCTGACATATATCATCAGTATTTGTGAAGGTCAGTGCTTCACCCTGACATATATCATCAGTCTGACATATATCATCAGTATTTGGGAAGGTCAGTGCTTCACCCCATACATATATCATCTGTCTTTGTGAAGGTCAGTGCTTCACCCTGACATATATCATCAGTATTTGTGAAGGTCAGTGCTTCACCCTGACATATATCATCTGTCTTTGTGAAGGTCAGTGCTTCACCCTGACATATATCATCAGTATTTGTGAAGGTCAGTGCTTCACCCTGACATATATCATCTGTATTTGTGAAGGTCAGTGCTTCACCCTGACATATATCATCTGTCTTTGTGAAGGTCAGTGCTTCACCCTGACATATATCATCAGTATTTGGGAAGGTCAGTGCTTCACCCTGACATATATCATCTGTCTTTGTGAAGGTAAGTGCTTCACCCTGACATATATCATCAGTATTTGTGAAGGTCAGTGCTTCACCCTGACATATATCATCTGTCTTTGTGAAGGTCAGTGCTTCACCCTGACATATATCATCAGTATTTGTGAAGGTCAGTGCTTCACCCTGACATATATCACCAGTATTTGGGAAGGTCAGTGCTTCACCCTGACATATATCATCTGTCTTTGTGAAGGTCAGTGCTTCACCCTGACATATATCATCAGTATTTGTGAAGGTCAGTGCTTCACCCTGACATATATCATCTGTATTTGTGAAGGTCAGTGCTTCACCCTGACATATATCATCTGTCTTTGTGAAGGTCAGTGCTTCACCCTGACATATATCATCTGTCAGTATTCACCCTGACATATCAAGGTCAGTGCTTTCACCCTGACATATATCATCATCTGTCTTTGTGAAGGTCAGTGCTTCACCCTGACATATATCATCTGTCTTTGTGAAGGTCAGTGCTTCACCCTGACATATATCATCTGTATTTGTGAAGGTCAGTGCTTCACCCTGACATATATCATCAGTATTTGTGAAGGTCAGTGCTTCACCCTGACATATATCATCTGTCTCTGTGAAGGTCAGTGCTTCACCCTGACATATATCATCTGTCTTTGTGAAGGTCAGTGCTTCACCCTGACATATATCATCTGTCTTTGTGAAGGTCAGTGCTTCACCCTGACATATATCATCTGTCTTTGTGAAGGTCAGTGCTTCACCCTGACATATATCATCTGTCTTTGTGAAGGTCAGTGCTTCACCCTGACATATATCATCAGTATTTTGTGAAGGTCAGTGCTTCACCCTGACATATATCATCTGTCTTTGTGAAGGTCAGTGCTTCACCCTGACATATATCATCTGTCTTTGTGAAGGTCAGTGCTTCACCCTGACATATATCATCAGTATTTGGGAAGGTCAGTGCTTCACCCTGACATATATCATCTGTCTTTGTGAAGGTCAGTGCTTCACCCTGACATATATCATCAGTATCTGTGAAGGTAAGTGCTTCACCCTGACATATGCTATCAGTATTTGTGAAGGTCAGTGCTTCACCCTGACATATATCATCTGTCTTTGTGAAGGTAAGTGCTTCACCCTGACATATATCATCTGTCTTTGTGAAGGTCAGTGCTTCACCCTGACATATATCATCTGTCTTTGTGAAGGTCAGTGCTTCACCCTGACATATACCAGTATTTGTGAAGGTCAGTGCTTCACCCTGACATATATCATCTGTCTTTGTGAAGGTCAGTGCTTCACCCTGACATATATCATCTGTATTTGTGAAGGTCAGTGCTTCACCCTGACATATATCATCTGTCTTTGTGAAGGTCAGTGCTTCACCCTGACATATATCATCTGTCTTTGTGAAGGTCAGTGCTTCACCCTGACATATATCACCAGTATTTGGGAAGGTCAGTGCTTCACCCTGACATATATCATCTGTCTTTGTAAAGGTAAGTGCTTTAATCAGACATATATCATCTGTCTTTGTGAAGGTTTGTTCTTTACACTAACATATATCACCAGTATTTGTGAAGGTACGTGCTTCAATCTGACATATATCACCAGTATTTGGGAAGGTCAGTGCTTCACCCTGACATGTGTTATCAGTATTTGTGAAGGTCAGTGCTTCAGTCTGACATATATCACCAGTATTTGGGAAGGTCAGTGCTTCACCCTGACATATATCACCAGTATTTGTGAAGGTCAGTGCTTCACCCTGACATATGCTATCAGTATTTGTGAAGGTAAGTGCTTCATATCATCAGAATTTGAGAAGGGGATTGCTTCACACTTACATATAGCATCTGTCTTTGTGAAGGCAAGTGCATCGCCCTGACATATCTGTCTTTGTGAAGGTTTGTGCTTTGCACTAACACATAGCATCAGTATTTGGGAAGGTAAGTGCTTTAATCTGACATATATCAGCACAATTGATGCTGCTCATTTTGAATGTTTAACACTTTTCATGACACCCTACTGAGCAAGTCTATCTAGTTCCTTCTCCACTTTTGAAGAAGCGTGATTTGTCTGATGCTGAAAGTTCAATTGAAACTTCCACACCTTTCATCTCTCCCAGTTGCTCGTTGAATAAATCAGAGTAAGTGGTGAAAATATTCTGTAATTCAGTGCTCTCCACACTGAGGAATGAACCCCAGTGTAAGTTAATAGGCTGTAATCAGTCTCGACCAATCAAGCCAGGAGTTTACCCTTTCACTACAGTAAGTGACACATCAGATTTCTGCTTCTCATACTGAATAGTGACATTAGCCATTCCAAGAATAGGCATCCTGTGTCAATCTCCATATTCAACCTGCTACCATTGATTGAAATGTTCGCCATGTATTGGTCTACTTTCACCAAACGCGTGCTAACCTTGAACAAGTCTGCATCGTACTTTGAATAATAGTCATCGACTGAACTGATCTGTCGCTTGGTTTCTCCTCCATCCTTGGTTGAAACTCCAAGCCACGCTGACGCAGTGAACTCGCTTGAAAACCGCGACACACACGTGACAAATGTCCGGGCCACCTCATGCCAATAGTCTGCTGCACGATGACCTAGTACACCACAACGACCTCAAGGGGGTATGGTGGTTTATTTCAGAAAAGTAATATAGGTCATAGGCCCAGGTTACACAGTGAAGATTACAGAGTGAGAAAGTATGTTATAATGAAGACTGTCTCAGTAACATAGCTTGATATATATATGCTGATAAATGTTTTAAGATGCTAGCACTGGGTGGTTGCAGAAGCGTATTAAATTTTTGGATTGTTGGATATTCATAAAATTGTAAAGGGATTAACAGACGCCGCAATGCTTGATATAGATTACAAATACGCAAGAAGTGATATTCATCTTCTATATATGTCAGTTTACAGATATTACATAATCTGTCATTTCTAGCCTCACCAATATACCTGCCAGTTTCTATTCGTAGTATATGAGACCCCGATCTAAAGTGAGCAAAGAGCACGGCTATGTTTTAAATAGCTAACTGTAAAGAAATAGGATTCAACACCGAACACAGGTTAAAACAACGAGTATCCAAATGTTTTTGTGCCTTGTATTAGTGCCGTTAGCCAGTCTTGTTAATACGAAACTTTGAGTCTACCTAGAAATTCATTTAAAAATAGCGTTTCACTTCGAAGCAAACAAATCTAAATCCATAGACTTCTAATGTATGCTTTATCCTAGATACCCAGCTCTTACAACCAATACTGTCCATTTGTACAAGCATGTTATAACATTTCTTTACGTAACGCTCATTTGACATTTTTAATATTTTACAATATTTAATAGACCTTTTGATGGTATAAATATACAAGGGATATCATCCACATTCGTCTCGCACAACAAACGCTGAAACAGAGGATTTAATTCCTAGAAATCGTTTACAAGCTGCTACATGTACAACTTCTATTTCGTTAACAACATTCAGTCCCCATATTTCTGCACCGTATAATAAAATTTGGCAAACTTTGATGTCGAAAATCTTAAAGAACAAGTGGAAAGGGAATGGCTTAAGCATTGACAGTGATCTAAACATACCAAATAGAACTTGTTTGGCCTGCAGACATACATTTTCTATGTGCTTGGTCCATACTAATTACATACTGAATAAAATACCTAGATATTTGTACCAGGAAACACATTCTATTTGTACACCATTATAGAACCATTTTTCATAATTCGACAGTCTTCCACCTTTTTTGAAAACTATTACCTTTGGGTTTTTTCATATTAACCGTCAAACAATTCTCAGAACAAAATATCTTTAGGACACCAAGTCTTTTCTGTAGACCAAACACTGTATCAGAGATAAACACAACATCATCAGCAAATAAAAGAAGAAATAAATGTACAAGTTCGGGTTGAAGCTGAATTCCTGGTTCGCAACATGCTTCGATTTCATAAGCTAATTCATTGATAAAAATGGAAAAAGAAGAGGGCTTAGGATACACCCTTGTCGCAAACCAAATGGACAATCAAAACATGTTCATAAATTATTATTAAATTTGACACACGCTTTAACGCTGGCATAGAGGGCTTGGATTGACTTTAGCATTTTACTCCTTACTCATCTTAGCCTTAAAATATTCCACAGTTTTGCCCTATTCATTAAGTCAAAGGCTTTGGAAAAGTCTATGAAACATGCATATAAACCTCAGCTGTCATAATTGTGTCGTTTTGGGGGTTATTCTTTTCTCAGGTAAACCTTCTTTCAGGGTCATATACAATATCCCTGGGACATTCTATACACTACTCCATACTTGGCCCTGAAAGTAGATTTTCACGAAATAAATGTTTTCTTTCTGGATAAAGAAAGTCAAGCAGAGACAGTGGTTTTATTTCTTTCAATGACATTTTAAGAAATATTGAAATTGAAGACGACTGTCGTCTTCGTCGTCGATTTCGTGGATCCAACGTCGTTTCCTGAATCGGCAGTCGTCTTTTCTGTATCCGTAGCTGTCATAGTTTTGATTTCACTCATCAAACGTTTTGGCGCTGAGGTAAGGATATCAGACAAAGTCGACTTCTGCACATCTGAAGTATGTTTGTATGACTGGACAGCTTCACTTTTGTGACCTGTAAAGAAAAAGCCAAAAACAATATTCAAATTTCCATAATATCAAAAATATCTGAAACCACATGACACAAAGTAGTTACCTTTCGTCTCAGAAAATAGTATTGAACTAGTGTAGTGATGACCATGCTCTTTGATAAACATCGGTATGTGAAACAACATAATGGATTCAAAGTACATTTAAACATTTCACACATAATTTAATCTAGAGTGTGATATTACATAGGATACAAAGCTAAGTCTATTTAGTGAACGTGATTTCGTTAGAATTTCAATATTTTATGTTTTATGATTATTAATGTCATAAAGTTATGCTCACCCGTCATTTCGCAAATCATTTGTTCATCCACATATACATTCCGCCAAGTACAGCTTCGGAAGATCCAAGTTGTATTTCATAGCTCTTTGACGTCTCTCCTCTTGGCATCCGGAAAACACTGCAACAGCCCAGTCGTTCTTATACTTAGTTGATTTGGGAACACAAATTTGAAGTTCCTTATCGATGTCATTACTGTCGATTGGTTCGCCAAATATAAACTCAAAGTCACCATCACTGTCAACGTTGTTTTCCACATTTACTACACAAGACTGATTGACAAAAATATTTCCTTCCTCTCTCTCATGTTTCTTGCAGTAAACTGCAGTTGACTGACGACTAGCAAGCGCGCGCACACATTTAGCCGAGACATTTTCCACGTGCAGAACGTGCTGTTATGTACACAACCGGCGGGTGAATGGCTGCGTTTGTGCGATACTTTTTCAGTGTTCACGTCTCATCGGTATGCCATCGTCCATTTCATAGAGAATATATTTCATGATTTAAGACCGATTTTGATAAATTTGTCGTCTTTTCTTTCGATTTAATTGACAGATATAACACTCTCCCTCAGTTTTGGTTGAAAATGTAAACCCTTGCCCTCATGTTTACATTTTCAACCAAAACCTTGGGATCGTGTTATATCCTTTACACACAATTTACCACTCTTTCTGTGAGAGATAGCGTTCAATAACGGTCTGTAGGATGAAACTGTTATCAACAGTACTGTAACCTTTGCGAAACCCCGTTCTTTTCATAGCAAGAGCACCAAAATGTTAGTCTATAATTCCGAATGTGTATGTACAGCTTGCTGATTTTGTAATTGATATACCTCTGTAATTGTTAACTACACTAGTGTCACCTTTCTTATGCATAGGTACAATACGATTCTGGAAAATATGCTCGATCAAACAGAACATTGAAAAGGGGGGCTGGCATAGGGTTTCCTGTGGACATTTGTCCGCTTCATTCAAACCAGTAATCAGGTATTACGAGAAGGTGTGCGGTTGGGAGTATTGACATGATAAACTTGTGTAGATGTGGCATCGCACTTCATAGTCTTCACACTCTTCTCTGCAAACACCAGAGCAAAAGCCTGTTAATAATCTAATCTTCTCTCAGCTAAAAGTCCCCTCTGAATGGTATCATGATTAATCCCAGCAACCAGCCTGTCCCGCAAAGCGCTATCCAGGTTATCGCCGAAATCACATGTCAGTGCCAGTCGTCGAAACTCTAACACATATAATGGCACTGTTTCACTATCATGTCTGTCTCGTTTATTGAATTTCAATCTTTCAAGTATAACCGAAGGCTGTGGATATTGATGCGCTCGCATCATTTCTAAAAGTTATTTGAAAGTTTGTCATCTGGCTTGGGGCACACAAATTCCGTAACAGAGAACACGATTTCTTGCCCATTTCACTCAGAAGAATTGTCCTCTTCTTATCATCATCTGTTATCTCTCTGGCTTCAAACCAATGGGAAAATCTTTCACTGTAGGCGTCCCAGTTGTCTGTGATTTTCCAAACCGATTACACCCATTTTGTCTTACACCCCTACCTCGTGGCCAGGAACTAAAAGTCAGTTTGAACTTGAATGCAGCCTTGACAGTTCAAGTTTCTCCTCGTCGCCAATTTATGCGGTGTCCGAGTGGGAAGAAACTCTATCGTCTTACTCAATGAAATTTAATTGACGTAAAACATCTCAATAAACAGTAGGTAACCGACGGATGCCCTGTCCTGCAGCAAGGCTATGTACATTCTGGAGACAAGCATGATAGTAACCGAAGCTTCCGTAAAAGGACCATAGTTACACCAAACCCTCCCCACTGGCTCTTCACAGTGGCTCCCAACACATGGGAGCTAACCCCTACTCGGTGGATAGGGTTTCCTACAGGGGTTAGACACAGGGGGTGCCGTCGTTAAAACGTGACTCAGACGTTAAATATGTTTCACATCGACGTGAAGCTGCTTCCCTGGGAACTACTGCTGGTGTCTGCCTTTAACCGGGTCGACGCTAAGGCGAGTTAGCCCGATTTGCGTCAGGTTTTCACGCTCCAGGTACTTCGAATACAGGGGTTCTGATGTTAATATTCACTGAAAGCCCTGTGTCTCAGCTTTCATGTCATGTTGACATTGTGCGGATGTCGTCATGTTTCCCACCCACAGAGCCACCAGGCAAGTCCCATGCGTGTGGTGGGCGGCGAAACAGCTCAGATTTGATGAAAGTGCATCCCGTTTGCCCCAAATGCCTGACCCACGGAGAAAGAGACATATATGCACGCATATCGTACAAGAAAATGTTGTCATATTGATAGACAACTACAGATTGTCTCGGGGTTGACGTGTGTGTGTGTGTGTTTGTTTGTGTGCGTGTGTTTGTTTTTGACAGTCATGCAGTTTATGAGTACATTTACACACCACACAAACGTACACATTGAATCCCGTCAAAGTGCAAAAACTTAATAATGTCACGAGAAAACCACAACCATCCCGCAACGATGTTGTACTTATTTTAATCGGTGTACAGTAATTTTATTTCTGTGATAGTAGTATACTATTCAAAAAGAAACGCATAACCCAGAAATCTGTTGCGAAAATGTTGTATTTTCAAACATGTGTAACTAGCCCACAAATAGACATTAGTCCATGCAAGTTTACATCAGTTTATAAGAAGGAAATGTCTATACAACCAAGTTGTTAAATTTAGATAACGGAGACGTTGAGCGCGATGGTGACGGCGTAGCACGGTCCCGACGACGGGTGTCCTGGCTCTCAGTACAATCTCTCTCAACCTGTTCCGTAGAGTTTGACCTGTTATCCTCCGAAGTCCAGGCACCATGGCTGCTGTGCTCTCCCCCGTGGCAGTACGATCACGCAAATGTAGTACCCGGATGTACCGATCTTGGGCTGCATTGGTGACTCGAGGTCTGCCTGTATGGTGACGGTCATTCTTTATACCTGTTTGGTTGTAACGAGCTGCAAGTCGTGATATCGTGCTCAGACTAACATTCAGACGCCTGGCAACAGAAGATTCGTATTCTCCAGCGTACATTCTTTCAATGGCGATGTTCCGTGTCACAGCGTCAAGACGTGGCGTAGTAATTTGAGCTTGAAACTCCTTAAAACGAATGCCGATTTCCGAAAGTAATCTGGATTTTTATAGCCAGACAGCGCATGCTCTTTGCTGCACAATTTCAACTGTGTCAAATATTTTTCTAAAATTCAAATTTTTCCTATGTCAAGTTTCTTTTTTTGAAGAGTATATGTGCGTGCGTGCGCGCATGCGTGTGTATGTATGGGGGATAACCAGCCCCAACTACTCCCCAGAAACAGTTTCCTCCCCTGAGCGTAAACGTCCAGTGAATTGAATCATATGAATGAGTAACTGTTATTTTGCCACAACGACAATGGTGTCACTTTGCTATATTTGATGTGTGTGTTGCATCACAGGAGCAGTAAGTTCCTAATCACAAAAACTGTGTCATAATTTGTAAAGTCAATGTTCGTTGCAGCGAAATCGAAAGGGACAGCCACGTGTTAGAGAAGCACGTGCACAAGTGCCGACAAAGTTATTGATTCATTAACCTGTGCTGTGCCGTCTCCATCCTTTCTCGCACACCTGGCTGTCCTTTCTCTGCACTCCTCCCTCGTAACAAATAGTGAACTGTGTCGATATTTTCATGATAGTTTGTTAAACTACTTTTTTATTTTTAGGACATAAATTCTGCAAACACCTCTCAGAGTTGGTCTGACGTTTTCATTATGATCAGTGTTTCATTGAGTATTTTATGTTTATCAGTTTTCGAGTTAGATTGCAATTCATCGGTCTGCTTTTGAGCCAAACGGACTTTTTTATAGGAACATATGTGGAAACACCGTTGTACCTTGTCGTGCTTCAAAGCTCATATACGTGGAGACATGTTTTGACAAATGCCATATATTATGGGCCAATCTGTTTCTCGTAATGTATACCTAACCATGTTCTGTTGCTCAAATCAAAATTTCTCAAAGAAGCAACGACTTTTTATAAATCCCAGAAACGAGAAGTTGCATGGATCCCAATTGTTTGCATCCTGGTCACGTTAATTTGTAAATTGGACGTCACCCTTGTATATGTGATGTGGCCTATTTGTAATATGTACCCAGAATATTGAGGTACCATCATGGCGATTGGTGCTTTTTCTGCAGGATATGACCTATATGTCGACCTGACATCAGGGACGACCCTCCCAACCAGCAGTTCTCTGTCCTGGGCGACATGGGTCAGGCACGTGCGGGAAGAGGGGCGTTCTCAAGTTGAGCTTTGGTGCTCCTGGGTCTGGCAACAGGAAGAACAAAGTTCTGATTGACATGTGGTTCAACATCCCATCAGGCTGGGTGTTCAACATCGGCGACTCACCCACCAATAATGGATACGATAGGTCAACTATTGTTATATATGTGCCAATCAATAAATGATAAGTAAAGATATATGATTGATTGATAATTATGTTCTGTTACTTACCACTAAGATGTCAATGCATTTATGACAATGTTCCGGTTGTCGATTATATCCAGCGAGAGAGTGTTCTCATAGGCAGCGTTCGCAATAGTTACTCGCCCGCTAGACAAATGCTAGGGAAAAGTAATTGTTAGTTGTTAACATTAAAGAAACCCGTCACGATTCGGATTAGAACTGATCTTGTTTTAGGTGGTCAGACTTGCTGACTGGTCCAGGGGCGATCATGTACAGATCGTCATTATACAGCTGGTATATTGCTGAATGCGGCGTTAAACAACAAACAAACACAGGATTAAAGACATTTCATGCTCGAACAAAACGCAAATATCCAAGTTGTGCTTTGTGCATCCATATGAAGGACAAGAGTGATGAAGTCAACTTTCCAAATGTTAACGTTTATGTCGCGAGATCTTCCAACATCTCCAACTAACCGTGTCTCTATTTCAAACATTTGAGGTACAATGCACTTTCTATGAACCAAACCGTGTCATAGGACGCTTATTCAAAAGTGATTACAGCATTCATGGCCATGTTTTCCAGTTTGATAACTGATTTGCCGGGTGATTTGTGACGGGTGAGACAGGTGTCATCACCTGGTATCATCACTCTTTAAAAGTGATTCATGAGCACATTTTTATGACATAATCGGTATTTAATAATTGACTTGCCTTTCCATGTGTTTGTGATATTCACATTCTACACGTTCCCAGAAATATACCGATGACACTTCACAGTTGTTTACAAATATCACGAC